GCTCGCTCTATTTCTCTCTCTTCTCTCTCTCTCTCATCTCTCTCTCGCTCCTCGTCTATTCTCTCCTCCTCTCTCTCCTTGTGGCTCCTCTCTCTCCTCTCTCTCTCTCTCTTCTCTCTCCTCTCTCTCTCTCTCTTCATCGCCTCTCCTCACTCCTCGCGCTCTCTATCTCTCATCACCATTCTATTCTCATCTCTTTCTCTCTTCTTTCTCTCTCTTCTCTCTCTCTCTCTCTCCCTCTCTCTTCTCTCCCTCATCGCTCATCTTCACTCTCTCGCTCTCTCTCGCTCTCTCTCCTCCCTCCCTCCCCTCTCTCTCTTCTTCATATACAAATCTCCCCCGTTTAGCAGTCACGCAAATAGAGAAACCAGTCTCCATTACCAACGCACCGCGCGAGATAAATAAAGAGTCGCGCACCGCGACATATCTATAGAGCTGATAGCGATAATTACAGATCTTTACGGTTCGCGCGACACACACGCGAGCTAAATAAATACACACGCGACGGATCCCAGCTGTCGTGAATTCGGAGAGGGGCGGGCGGCGCGGGACCGGTGTAGCGACCGGTTGACCGTGGTCGAATAACCCCCTTTATGGCCAAACTTCCCCCCTGTACGATGCGCAGCATGGGCGTTGTGCTTGCTGTGCCAGACGCATTGCGGAGTGCCGCATCGTGGTGGGATATTACTTTTTTGCCATGCGTGATGTATGAAGCGGTACGTTTTATATAGGCGAGAATACACCGGCTACCGCGCGTACACACGCGGTGTATACCGTTACGCAGTTAGAATCCTCTAGCAGCAGCGGCAGCGTCGAGGAAATAACTTTCCCGCGTGGGAGCAAGTTTGTACTTCACGCTCAGCCTATGCTTTTCACGATGACGCATACACACTGCCTCCATTGTTGTATGTGTGTGATGTGTATTGTCGATGTGTGTGTAGCGCGACGAGGTGTGTGGTTGTGTGTGTGTGTGTGTGTGTGTGTTGTGTGTGATGTGTTGTGTTGCGCGCGAGTGTGTTGGTTGTGTGTCGTGGTGTGTGTGTTTCGTGTGCGTCCGTTTGGAGTGTCTTGTCATGCGTGTGCAGACGGACTCACGACTCTACTTATTGATTAGGGCAGTTAAGGATTCCACGGAGGTGATAAAGCGAGGCAGCTCTCGCTATTTGCAGCAGTAACCATTCCCGCAGTGAGAGTGCCGCGTCTGCCCCCACTTACATTACATAAAGTACGGATATAGAGAGAAAGGTGGATGGAAAAGGGAGCGAGCGAGAGAAGCGAGCGACAGAGAGAGAGGGAGAGTGAGAGAGCAAGAGAGGGGGAGAGAGAGAGAAAGCAAGGGAGGGAGAGAGAGCGAGGACAAGACACTCTCGCACGCACGCACGCACGCACTCGCAGAGACCGAGATAGAAGGGGAAGAAACAGAAGAGAGGTCGAGAGCGAGGGGGCGCGAGCGAGAAGCATGGAAACACGTATAATGAGCGCGCTTAGCAGTTCTGATTGACTCATTTAATCGCTGTTGCAGCAACCATAAACAGTTCTACCTTTACCTATTATTTACCATTACTATCCAATATTTCTATTATTATTTTTATTTATTAATTGTTATTATTATTATTATTATTATTATTTACTATTATTTTATATACCGTCAATCCGCTCGCGCATCGAGTGGAAAGTATATACTTACGTTGACTTTATCCGCAACATGACGCTGGACCAAAGACGTCGGACGCTGACGCTGATGCTGACGGCTGAGCTGCGGGATGCTGGACGCTGATGCTGACGTGACGGCTGAGGGCTGACGCTGAGGCTGACGCGGATTGCGGGGACGCTTGACGCGGACTCTGGACGCTGACCGGAACGATGCACGCTGAGCATTCATGCCGCGTTCTTACACCTTGTCGCCTCGGCATGCCGTAAGAAGGGGGCTCCGTGGCAAGGATGCCCTCCTGTCTCCCTCCTCGCGAGGGATGCCCTCCTCCTCCCTCTCCCTCCTCCCGCGGAGGGCTGACCTACACTGCGGGGGGGGGGCAGTGCTACACTGCTGCCAGCGGCGCAGATGAGAAGGCGGAAGCGGCACAGCGGGAGTAATAGAGACGGTTGAAAAACAGCTGCGCGTCTGAGAAGCCGACGTATGCTAACAGACGACCTCTAGCAGAACGACCTCTAGCCAGACGAACCTCTAGAGACGACCTTCTAGCAGACGACGCCTAGCAGACGACGACCTAGCAGACGACCTCTAGCAAGACGACCTCTAGCAGACGACCTCTAGCAGAGCGACCCTAGCAGACGACCGCTAGCAGACGACACTCTAGCAGACGAACTCTAGCGACGACTCTAGCAGACGACCGCTAGCAGACGACCCTCTAGCAAGACGACCTCTAGCAGACGACGCCTAGCCAGACGACTCTTAGACAGACGACCTCTAGACAGCACGACCGCTAGCAGACGACACGCTAGCAGACGACGCTAGCAGCGACCTCTAGCAGACGACTCTAGCAGACGACGCTAGCAGACGACCGCTAGCACCGATGCTAGCATGCGCAGACGACGTTATCGATCGTTGTTGGTCGGAGACGGCGGCCGGCGCACCGACGAATGATTGCTGTGTGTGTGTGTGTATGTGTTTGTGGTGTGTGTGTCTGGTGTAGTGTGTGCTGGGTATGTGTTGATGCTGTGTTTGTGGGGTGTGTGGGACGTGTGGTGTGTGTGTGGTGTGTGTGTGTGTGCCTGTGTGTTTATGTATTGGTGTGTGTGTGTGTGTAGTGTGTTGTGAAATGTGTGTGTGTGTGCTGTGTGGTGTGTGAACGAGTGACGCCGTGTGTCGTGTGTGTCGTGTGTGTGTGTGCTGTGTGTGTGTGTGTGTGCTGGGGTGTGTTGTTGCATGTGTGTGTGTGTGTGTGTGCGTGCGTGCGTAGTGTGTGTTGCGCGTGCGATGTGTATGTGGGTGTGTTTTTGTCTGTCTGATTTGTCTGTCTGTCTGTCTGTCCGTCCGTCCATCACATCCCTTCTTGCATCGCGGTCGCGTTCGTGCGTACCTCTGTTGTCCGCATGCGTGCATGTGCATGCGTGTGTGCGCGCATGCCCTACGCTGCAGTCGTCGTCATGCAGTCGATATGATGCGCACGCGCCGCGGGCTAACTGCCGATCCACATTGTTATAACATGTAGCAACAATTAGATATACATTGTTCATTTTGTAGGTCATCTCTAATACTCGCCTTTCTTACTTTCATCAGAGTCATATCTTCAGAGAGAGAGAGAGAGAGAGAGAGAGAGAGAGAGAGAGAGAGAGAGAGAGAGAGAGAGGGAGAGGCGATGAATGACGGTAAAACGTCGTAGGTGGTGACCCGAGACGATATATAATTTGTAGATGTGAGTGACGTTGTTTGCGGTCCAGCTAAGAGGGGAGACGTATATAGAGAGAGGAGGGTAGGTAATTTATGATAGTAATCAATGGTAGATGGCTACCCCGAGATTATATAATATAGTTTGTAGATGTGTGTGGCGTTCTCTGGCATTCTCAGTAACAAGGAAGATTGGAATAGAGAGGAGGGAAGGTAATGTATAATAGTAATCAATGGTAGATGGCTACCCCGGGATGATATATAGTTCCCTCCGCCCAACGGAGTTGGAGGAAGTTATGTTTTCGCTCTCGTGTGTTCGTGTGTTCGTGTGTTCGTGTGTTCGCGCGATCGATATTAGCGCGTCGAGTCAGCGAGCCAGCCAGCCAGCCAGCGCAGCGAGCCAGCGAGCGTGTACATGTCAGCGAGCAGCAGCAACGAGCGGGTGCTACGAGCGAGCGAGCCAGCCAGCCAGCAAGCCAGCGAGTACATGTCAGTGCGCTGGCGTATATCGTGCATGGGTTATTCGTGTGTTCGTGAGTCGTGTGGCGTATGTCGCTGGCGGAGGTATGCACTCTCCGTGAGTGCACTCTGTCTAGTTTGTAGATGTGCCTGGGGTTGTTTCGCATTGCGGGTAACAGCCGTGACAAGTGGATAACTGCGTCCGAATGTTCCGATATTCAAATCAGTTGCAATCAGTCTAATGTCCCCGCGATATGTGATTACCTCGTAGCAATGCATCTATTGCATCGCCATAACGACGCATAAACAAAGACGTGATTGAGGCTCATTGAGCAGAAATGCGAATATTATACGTTTCCAGGAAAAGCGAAGCAAGATAAAATGACAGCGCTGCGCCAGAGTGGCGGTTTTTGCCTTTGAATTATGGTTAGAGGAGGAGAATCAATACAGGCTCTCGTCTCAGCTCTCCTGCACATGAATCTCGCTCACGATGCGGACTTTATCAGTAGCTACAACATCCACACACGGCCTAGCCTGTACACGTCCTTTACAAATACTCTCATACATCTATATGCACATGTAGCGTTGGTAAGGCCATGTGTGCGATACATTCATATTTTATACGTTTACCCTTCAAATACATTTACTGTACGCAGCCGCATTCGTCTATACTTAACTTATACGTTTCCATGACAAATACGTTCATACAGGGTCGGTGTGTCCGTGTGCACGATACATTCATATTGTAAACATCTACCCTTCAAATACATTTACTGTATACAGTCGCATCCGTCAATACAGCTTTAACGCGCAAGCATAAATTAAGAAGGCAACGTGAACAGCGTTCTTCTGCTCTAATTAATATTAGTTAATTAGAATAATAATTAATGCAGAGGTATGCACGGCGATATTTTTTTCTAGCCATGACGTCACCGCTAGCCAACCGCACAGAGGATGCTTGGCTGCAGGGGAATTATAAGAATTTTCCGCATCCATACAGCATCCGCTGTGATCGTATACAGGCTATGTAGGGTTTCAGCTTCTTTACTCTCATCACGTCAGCAACGGAGGAGTTTACTTGAACGCTAACGGCATCATCTGCGCCCAGCCTTGCCTTACTGTTCATAAGATCAACTGGTCGTGGGGCCTCCCCCTCCCGTCATGCTAGCTAGCATCATAGGATCACCTGGTCGTGGGGCTTCCTCCCCCCCCCGTCATGCTAGCTAGCAGCCTCCGCTTTGTTTGGCTTCACAACAGTAGAGAGCGAGCAGCAGCAGCGACTGGGCAGCGAGTCGAGCTCATTACGTGCGGTCAGGTTGAGGCTCGCACCACAGGCACTTGGAGCGTTTTAATAAAATATAATGGTAAATGAATACGAAATCTATTTACTACCAAAGTCTTAAAGTTTCTCTACTCTCTTTCGCCTATTATTGCCGATAATTTCCTGTAAATGCCGTCCAAATGCTCCTCTGCAACACACATGTACACATGTTCGCACAACGCTTGGTCGGAGTTGTGTGGAATCATGGTGGTGATGGGTGTGCGGAACTGTAACATCGAACGTCGAATGAACGTCGAATGACGTCGTTAAACGAGAATGAACTAATGAACACGTCGCCAACGCGACAGCTCTCTACTCCCCCCAGCCGCAGTTACAATTACCGCTTTTCATAGCCGGTGACAGCTGAGAGGAGGGAAGCTGCCGTGGGGAGATGAACGATGGTACTACCAGACACGCGCCTATAGTGTCAACGGTCGTCAGCATCATCGTCATCGTTTTCATCATCGTCGTCGTTGCCGTCATCATAGTCGTCACCGTCGTCATAATCCTCATCATCGTCGTTATCATTTTCATCATCGTCGTTGTCATTGTCAGCGTCATCACCATCGTCGCCAGCCATCGTCATCATAATCATTATAATCACCATCATTTAGCCCATACGCGACAAATAACCGCAAATTGAAACATTTCCTTGCTTGTTAGTTTATAACGTTCAGTCGGTCCTTACTCTAGCTGCCTCGAGTCGGCAACCGTGTTGTTGCCAGCGTTATCCGCGCAGTCGTACGATGTGCTTTTACACACACACCCTATCTGTATCTATCGTTCGCATGCACACGTCTTTCTCTATCTACACTTCGTTCTAGCTACAGCTGATGAAATCGGTCAGTGTTATACCAGCCGCTGCAGCTTTATATACTTTTTAAGCTGGCAAGACTAAAATAATGGTTTTAAGTGAACCTAGTACTCAATTTGTTCCGTAAGAGATGTAGAAACAACAGCGCGATAGCCTAGATACGGGGTTACTTTGTTTTTGTCAGTGTACAGAGTCTCCTTAACCACAATTTTAACAACCCCTCTCTCTATTACACATCTCACAGTAGTGAAAACATTATTTGGAACGCCTGCTACTGTTATAGCAGGATATTGATGTTAACAGCGTTCATGACTAGACGAGGTTTACATCTGGGTTTAACACCCATCGCCCGATACTCGTAACTTTAAAGGCTCACAATGTGCATCCAAACGCTAATTTCTCCAGTACTAGACTAGCAAATACTTCGTGGCATGCATAATCACACTACCTTATGACAAAATAAACTCGAGTTGCTCCCATTTCACTGCGCGTTTGCTTAAAACCCACAAGAAAGAGGTGAGAAAACTGGCATTCTGGTGCCAACGCCGACTTGTTTGCCAAACAATTTAGCCTCGAAGTGGTTAATATTTAGGCACAGCTGCGTATGACCCTTGGCTATATTTACGATAAAATCACGCGCACTGTTCGTGGCGCACAATCGAATATATACATATATCGCTATCATACCATCTATATGCACTCGGTAAACGTCGCTGTATTTGATTTATCTGGTCGCATTTTATACATGTTCGATTTTATCGTGCAAAGCGCCACGGTTAACATGTATCGCAAACGAAAGTTAAATTTTATCGTATGCCAGCCATGGCCGATATTATCGTCGGGCGAAGTAATGCTGAGCGTATATCATCGACGATTGTATCATATGTCACTATTCCGACTTCGTGCGCAGAATTCTATCTGATCTTTATTGGCTCCTCACGAGCTAGAATCGGTTATTCCGTCGTCAAGGACGCTTCATCCGGGCTACTTCCTCTCAATGGAACGCAATATAGCTGAGCGGGTCTATGTCCCGCAGGGTACTGCCGGAACGTACCCTGGTACTATCTAATACGCCGGACCGTACCTCGCCTACTCCATTAACGAGTCTAGGGAGTCGCCTACGCCTACTCCCTAACCCTAACCTTAACCCTAACCATATCAGATAGTTACCAGGGTACGTTCCGGTATACCGGACCGTAACCAGGGTACGTTCCGGCAGAACCCTGGGGAACATAGACCCTAAGAGCCGCAATATATGCTGTATTCCTCAACATGGCTGTATTTGTTTTTTATTTGTTTAGAGATGTTAAATAAAAGTTAAGGTAAAGGTGTCAATAAAAAGACAAGGTCCTATAAAAAGGTGAGGTACTAAAGAAAAGGTAAGGTGTAAATATAGGTGTTAATATAAGTGGGTGTAATATAAGGTTCTGTGTTTCATACAGCTACAGCTATACATTGCCCAGACAAAATACAGACTTGGTCGGCCACGTTTTCTACGGGGATGCTTGCACGTGGGTTTCTTCAGTTCGCCCAGGTGACAATGTACGCCAATGGGAACTGCATAGCTCCTGCGCAATACCCAATAAAATTACCTAATAAAATTACCTAATATCCAATAAAATTACCCAATACCCAATAAAATTACCCAATACCCAATAAAAT